TTCACCAAATACTTATTTTCCACCATAATTTGCATATAAATTCTTTCCAGATCAGCCAATGAGATTGTCTGGATTTGTTTCCTCATTTTGTCTCTCATAGTTGAGGTCTCCCTATGATGCCAATTACAGGCCTCTCTCATCTCTGTAAGTGTAAGTTGTACCATTGGTGGCGACTAAATACTTTTTTGCCCCACTGTATGTATATATATATATATATATATATATATATATATATATATATATATATATATATATATATATATACCGTGCTCAATATAAATGAGTCCGCCCCTTTTGAGAAGGAAGATTTGAGTCGATATCTCCATGAACACAAGGATGATCTCCACCATTGGGACAGATCGGAGTTCGATCGATTATTTGTTCGGCTCATTACAGGAAAGGAAGGTTCATAACAGAATTTACATTATGACTTCTGTTTTACTCCAATTAGTTGTTGCAAAAATGAATCCCCCCCCCCCCCCCCCCCACAACAAGAACTCCTCCATCGAGTATTCTGTAGGACCTCCATGATTTGTATGGATAGCTCTGAGTCCTCTAGGCATGGAATGAACACGTTGGCGACATATCGCAACATCGATGTTTTTCCATTCTTCATGAACGACTTCTTTTAGAGCCTGGTTCCTGGATGGAGAGCGATGCTTAGCTTGTCTCTTCAGAATTCCCCCCATAGGTGTTCGATTGGGTTCAGATTAGGAGACATGCTTGGCCACGGAATCCCTTCCCCCGGTTCTTCTTCACAAATGCAGCAGTGGCCTTAGATATGTGTTTTGGATCATGTTGTCACGCTGGAAAAGTCCCCGAGGACGGAGGACACGGAGTGATGGCAGCATCTTCTCTCTCAATATAGAGGAGTACATCTAGGAATTCATGACACCATCAATGAAATTCAGCTCCCCGACACCAGCAGCCCCACAGAAGGACACTGCCACCACCATGTTTCACAGTAGGCACCGTGCATTTTTCTTTGTACTCCTCACCTTTGCGACACCATACAGTTCTGAAGCCATCAGCTCCAAAAACATTTATATCTTGGTGTCATCCCTCCAGAGTACAGAGTCCCAGTAGTCTTCTTCTTTTTCAGCATGGACCCTGGGAAATTCTAGGCGGGTTTTTTTGTGCTTTAGGAGAGGCTTCCTTCGTGGACGACACCCATGCATGCCATTCCTCTGCAGGGTACACCATATCGTGTCACGGGAAACAATCAAGCCAGTTTGGCCCCCCAAATGTCAGGACAATACAAGTATCCCCAAATTCCAGGGCACCACAAGTACCCCCAAATTCCAGGGCAGTACAGTGCATTTACTGCACTTATCTGCATTGGGTCGCATTAAAATGCATAGATGTGGCCTTCCAACACCTTGTAGTCACCTCCATTCTTACCGCGCCGCAAAACGCAGGTCGCTGCAGTGTGTGAACAGGGCCTATATATATATATATTCATATCTATCCCATATAATAAAATCAGTATCTAAATTTTCTAGGTAGTGAATAAAAATGCTATAAACAAGGCCAAATATATACAGTTATGTCCATATATATTTGGACACAGGCACAATTTTCAAATGAATTTGAAGTGCAGATATTCAGCTTTCATTCAAGGGGCCGAATATAAATATCAAGTACAAATTTTAGGAACTGCAACCATTTTTTTTTATACACAGTCCCTCCACTTTCAGGGGCTCAAATGTGATTGGACAAATGAATCTAATCATCAATAAAATGTTGATTTGTAATATTTTGTTGAGAATCCTTTACTGGTAATGACTGCCTGAAGTCTGGAACCCATGGACATGACCAAAGACTGGGTTTCCTCCTTTCCGATGCTTTGCCTGAAGTCTGGAACCCATGGACATGACCAAAGACTGGGTTTCCTCCTTTCTAAAGCTTTGCCTGAAGTCTGGAACCCATGGACATGACCAAAGACTGGGTTTCCTCCTTTCTGATGCTTTGACTGAAGTCTGGAACCCATGGACATGACCAAAGACTGGGTTTCCTCCTTTCTAAAGCTTTGCCTGAAGTCTGGAACCCATGGACATGACCAAAGACTGGGCTTTCTCCTTTCTCTTTGCCTGAAGTCTGGAACCCATGGACATTGCCAAAGACTGTGTTTCCTCCTTTCTGACGCTTTGCCTGTAGTCTGGAACCCATGGACATGACCAAAGACTGGGCTTCTGCCTTTCTGACGCTTTGCCTGAAGTCTGGAACCCATGGACATGACCAAAGACTGAGTTTCTGCCTTTCTGATGCTTTGCCTGAAGTCTAGAACCCATGGACATTACCAAAGACTGGGTTTCCTCCTTTCTGACGCTTTGCCTGAAGTCTGGAACCCATGGGCATGACCAAAGACTGGGTTTTCTCCTTTCTGATGCTTTGGTCATGTCCATGGGGTTCCAGACTTCAGGCAAAGTGTCAGAACAGAGGAAACCCAGTCTTTGGTCATGTCCATGGGTTCCAGACTTCAGGCAAAGCGTCAGAAAGGAGGAAACTCAGTCTTTGGTCATGTCCATGGGTTCCAGACTTCAGGCAAAAGCGTCAGAAAGGAGGAAACTCAGTCTTTGGTCAGGTCCATGGGTTCCAGACTTGGCAAAGTCTAATCTGGCTTTTCTATTCTTCAGGGTTAGGAATGGTTTGCACCTTGTGGTGAACCCTCTGTATTTGCACCTTGTGGTGATCCCTCTGTATTTGCACCTTGTGGTGATCCCTCTGTATTTGCACCTTGTGGTGAACCCTCTGTATTTGCACCTTGTGGTGACCCCTCTGTATTTGCACCTTGTGGTGAACCCTCTGTATTTGCACCTTGTGGTGACCCCTCTGTATTTGCACCTTGTGGTGAACCCTCTGTATTTGCACCTTGTGGAGAACCCTCTGTATTTGCTCTCGTGAAGTCTTCTCTTGATTGTAGACTGACAATGATCCGCCCACCTCCTGGAGAGTGTCCTTCACTTGTCTGGATGTTGTGAATGGGTTTTTCTTTACCATAGAGAGGATCCTGCGATCACCCACCACTGTTGTCTTCCATGGACGTCCATGGCTTGTTATGTTGCTGAGCTCACCATTCTTTCCTCAGAATGGATCAAACTGTTGAAATGTTGCTGCCATCTCTATGATGGATTTGTTTTGTTTTTGAACCCTTACAATGGTCGGTGTCACTTGCCTCTACAGCTCCTTTGAATGCATGATGGAGGTTCACATTAATAGATTCCAAATGCAAATCCCGCACTTAGAATCAACTCCAGACCTTTTACCTGCTTAATTGATGAAGAAATAACGAAGGAGTAGCCCACACCTGGCCATGAAACAGCTTTTGATTGAATTGTGCAATTATGGCAATTATGGGGATGGCTACTCTTAAGAGCTGTAATTCCTAAACCCTTCCTCCAATTCGGATGTACATACCTGTGACGATTGTGCGCAATAGAGGCATGGACGCTGTACGTGACAGCCATCTTGTTAGGTCTCAGCCATGTTCTCTCCTGTCCTCCCTCTTCAATGGAATGCATAGCTGTAGTTGAACGGAGATCAAAAGGATCTTATCCTAAATAAAACACAGCTAGATGAGCTCCATGGCTGTAAACCGCTAATTATTCTGGTTCCAGCAGGGGCGTATTTACCACAAGGCAAACAAGGCACTTGCCAAGGGCATCATTTTTCAGGGGGGCAGCACCTTCCCCCCAGAAGAAGGGATGAAAGAAGGGACACACACGCCATAGGAACCAGGTAGGATCTGAGAGAGGCTGCTTGATGGTCTATGTAGAGCCTCTCATTCCCGGGGATGTCCGGAGCTGTGAAGAGGAGTGTCTTCCTCTCTATCGCCAGGTGGGTAGTGGAAGGCAGGGGTGTTGTTGGTCAATGTCAGGCTCTGAGGGTGGTGTTGGTCGGTGTCCGTGGGGGCAGACGATTTTTGTGTTGCCTAGGGCAGCACAATACCTAAATACACCACTGGGTTCCAGGGGGTCTGCTTGAAAACCTCTTTCCTCTGCCCAATCGTAAAACAATAATTCAGTCAGTCATGACCTGTTAGGCCATTAGGGCTAGAGTGTGCCATAAAACATACATTCCACGAGCCATCTTCTATACAATTCATAAACTTCAGCAGGAACTGGGCACATTAATATGAAGTATATATTCAGATAGGTCATTTTAATACGAGTCACACGAGACCTTACATCACTATATTAGTACCTACAAGAGAGAAGAAGCAGTCTCTTTCCTCCTGGGTGACAAGGGTACGCTGTGTTTAGTATCTTTATGTTTGGAATATAATTCTAAATATTCATCTGCCAGTTGCTAGGATGCTACCTGTACCTATTGGAGGTTATTGACTTTAGTATGAAATTGTAAGGGATTTGGTCATAACCTTGGTTACCGCCTAACACCCATCCCCAAACTGGATGATTGGTCATTTGTTCTCAGGAGACACCCCTTTGAGATGATAGAAAAAGACTGACAGCCTGGAGGATGGGAGCTTTCCTTTACCATCGATCAGGAAACACCTAAGAGAATCGAGCGCCAAGGCACCCTTATGTTTGGACAATTGGACTCAAACCAAGGACAGTGCGAGTATCCTGCCTTCTGAGCTCCTTTTATTTGTTTTATTGCTCTTTATATCTTTTTCTGTAAATATTTTAATTGCATCATTTTGACCTTTTTAGTAATAAATCCCATTTTCTGAAAAGTGTTGAACTGTCTCTAAAGCTTTTAATGCAAACTCAGGAATCCCTGTCTCTGAAGAGTGTTCCCGTATGTAATAATCCTCTGATATCCCTGTCCCTGGAAGTGTTCCTGTATGCAATAATCCTCTGATATCCCTGTCCCTGGAAGTGTTCCTGTATGTAATAATCCTCTGATATCCCTGTCCCTGGAAGTGTTCCTGTATGTAATAATCCTCTGATATCCCTGTCCCTGGAAGTGTTCCTGTATGTAATAATCCTCTGATATCCCTGTCCCTGGAAGAGTGTTCCTGTATAATAATCCTCTGCTATCCCTGTCAGAGTGTTCCTGTATATATAAACCTCTGATATCCCTGTCCCTGGAAGTGTTCCCGTATGTAAATAATCCTCTGATATCCCTGTCCCTGGAAGAGTGTTCCCGTATGTAATAATCCTCTGATATCCCCATCCCTGGAAGAGTGTTCCTGTATGTAATAATCCTGGTGTCCCTGAAGAGTGTTCCTGTATATAACCCTCTGGTCTCCCTGTCTGCGGTGACAGTGTATTGCAGATGTTTATACTAATATCAGTGTTACTGCTAAGACTTGAGTTTCCTCCATCTCTGTACAAAAAGGAGGTGGTGGCAGTGTGAAGGGTTAAGTGCGTAATTAACCTGCCCCAGTAACAATCGCTCTCAGGCTGCTGGCACAGATTGTAGTCCCGCAAGCTGCAAAAATTTTTCTGCAGGGCGCAGCTGAGCGTAGCATCGTCCAGAGTGGGGGGGGTCTGGACTGGACTTTGTTAATCCTTTTGCTGCCAAGTCCATATATCATACAGACCTGACTGCAGGTTTTTTTTTTTTCACACACACACAATTCAGGGTCTGCAGCAACCAGGAGTGTGTGTAAAAGTGGCCAGCAGACTCGCGCCTCCGGCTGGCCCTGCCTCTGGGTTTGGCCAGCAGACTCGCGCCTCCGGCTGGCCCTGCCTCTGGGTTTGGCCAGCAGACTCGCGCCTCCGGCTGGCCCTGCCTCTGGGTTTGGCCAGCAGACTCGCGCCTCCGGCTGGCCCTGCCTCTGGGTTTGGCCAGCAGACTCGCGCCTCCGGCTGGCCCTGCCTCTGGGTCTGGCCAGCAGACTCGCGCCTCCGGCTGGCCCTGCCTCTGGGTCTGGCCAGCAGACTCGCGCCTCCGGCTGGCCCTGCCTCTGGGTCTGGCCAGCAGACTCGCGCCTCCGGCTGGCCCTGCCTCTGGGTCTGGCCAGCAGACTCGCGCCTCCGGCTGGCCCTGCCTCTGGGTCTGGCCAGCAGACTCGCGCCTCCGGCTGGCCCTGCCTCTGGCCAGCAGACTCGCGCCTCCGGCTGGCCCTGCCTCTGGCCAGCAGACTCGCGCCTCCGGCTGGCCCTGCCTCTGGCCAGCAGACTCGCGCCTCCGGCTGGCCCTGCCTCTGGCCAGCAGACTCGCGCCTCCGGCTGGCCCTGCCTCTGGCCAGCAGACTCGCGCCTCCGGCTGGCCCTGCCTCTGGGTCTGGCCAGCAGACTCGCGCCTCCGGCTGGCCCTGCCTCTGGGTCTGGCCAGCAGACTCGCGCCTCCGGCTGGCCCTGCCTCTGGGTCTGGCCAGCAGACTCGCGCCTCCGGCTGGCCCTGCCTCTGGCCAGCAGACTCACGCCTCCGGCTGGCCCTGCCTCTGGCCAGCAGACTCACGCCTCCGGCTGGCCCTGCCTCTGGCCAGCAGACTCACGCCTCCGGCTGGCCCTGCCTCTGGCCAGCAGACTCACGCCTCCGGCTGGCCCTGCCTCTGGCCAGCAGACTCACGCCTCCGGCTGGCCCTGCCTCTGGCCAGCAGACTCACGCCTCCGGCTGGCCCTGCCTCTGGCCAGCAGACTCACGCCTCCGGCTGGCCCTGCCTCTGGCCAGCAGACTCACGCCTCCGGCTGGCCCTGCCTCTGGCCAGCAGACTCACGCCTCCGGCTGGCCCTGCCTCTGGCCAGCAGACTCACGCCTCCGGCTGGCCCTGCCTCTGGCCAGCAGACTCACGCCTCCGGCTGGCCCTGCCTCTGGCCAGCAGACTCACGCCTCCGGCTGGCCCTGCCTCTGGCCAGCAGACTCACGCCTCCGGCTGGCCCTGCCTCTGGGTTTGGCCAGCAGACTCACGCCTCCGGCTGGCCCTTTGACAAGACCGTCATGACTACATAGACAAATCCCAGAAAGTCATTTTAGGACCATAGAAAGCCTGGATGTTTCCAGTGCATTGGACTGTACATTACCTACCCCATTGTAAGCCATATAAACTTACTATCCATGGGTTTGATGCACAAAAAGAAACCTGGACAGCATAGGGCCCCATCATTGGTGTTGGGGGGTAGAATATGGCGTGTTCGGTCACTGGAAGGTGCAGCATAAGATATATGAAGATACACTGCATCTGATGGGGTATATTATTGGCATTTTAAGCCATTGTAAAGGCTCAAGGCTTTCCTTCCCCATCACACAGCAGTTCCCCTGGCCCTTCAATACAGTGATTGACACAACAGCCTCATCTGTCCATCTGCCTTCTCATTGGCAGAAACAAGCAGTAACCATAGGCTCCCATCACTGTCTATCACAGCCAATGAGGAGAGTGGGCGGGGACAAGAAGCAACTATGTGTGAGGCTAGGTTCCCATCTGTGGGCCACATAGTGTGGGAGACAAGAGCCCATTCATTTGAATGGACTCCCATGCCACTCAGGGAAGTCCCAGCACTTCAGACAGCGTGCCTGCACAGGAACCTCAGCTCCTAGTATGGTGGTGATTTCCATTGCTGGCACCAGTCGGCAAGAACCAATGGCACCAGTCGGCAAGAACCAATGGCACCAGTCGGCAAGAACCAATGGCACCAGTCGGCAAGAACCAATGGCACCAGTCGGCAAGAACCAATGGCACCAGTCGGCAAGAACCAATGGCACCAGTCGGCAAGAACCAATGGCACCAGTCGGCAAGAACCAATGGCACCAGTCGGCAAGAACCAATGGCACCAGTCGGCAAGAACCAATGGCACCAGTCGGCAAGAACCAATGGCACCAGTCGGCAAGAACCAATGGCACCAGTCGGCAAGAACCAATGGCACCAGTCGGCAAGAACCAATGGCACCAGTCGGCAAGAACCAATGGCACCAGTCGGCAAGAACCAATGGCACCAGTCGGCAAGAACCAATGGCACCACTTGCAGATATGAACAGACAAGAGCAGGCGGTGACCCCATGGCAAGCTGCTTGCTGTGTAGACAGCAGAGCCTGTGGGGGACTCAGAACAGGAAGATGCAGGCTGCTCTGTGCAAACCCATTACACAGAGCAGGCAAGTATAACTTTAAACACTTCAAGCCACTTTCACCCACTCCCAGCCCAGGACAATTCTGCAACACCACACTTTGTTGCATGACTGCGCAATTGTCATTCACTGTACTTGTATGAATTTAGCATTTGAGATTTTTGCTATATAAAAATGAAATCCAAAACAATTTGGAAAAAAAGTGTTAAAATAAAATTTTGGGTTAATTTGTTTACCAGATATAAATTTATTCATAAAAAAATTCTTTTTAACTGTCACCCTAGCAGTACAGGGTCAACATAGTGACTACTACATGAGGGTGATTTTAAATACAGATTGCCTTTATGGGTGTATAAAATCAACCTCTGGCTGCATTCCTGCAGCCATTGAGAAAGCTGTGATTGGTCAGCTTGTCACATGCTCCAAGGCTGTTGCGTGTAGTCCTGTACCATATAACCTCTGATCAGATTTCACATGTAGTAAGCAATGACAGGAAGTGACATCTTGCTTACTACTAAGCATGTAGTCACTGATTGGCCAATCAGTGATCACATAATTGGGACCTTGCATGGGTCCTGTACAGCAATTGGCGACTCAGAGACTACAGGCCATAGCCCACAAAAGGGCATTTCAAGGTGATCAACATTTTGCCCATAGAGCTCCAGGACTGATGTGTCCCCAAAGACCACCAGATCCTACACAGCACCTCCATATGAATTGTCAGTTCCCAGACTTCAACTGACCACTGAAAGCCCTCAAATTCCTCATGTAAATGGTATTTCAGTCTAAAAGCACTGATCACAAGTTACCAAGAGAAACTTTATTTAACCTTTATTTTGTTTTACAAAAAGATGCTTTGAACAAAAGTGGAAAAAATACAATTTATGTACAAAAGTCCCTTTAGGGTGTATGAATCATGCAGTACTCTCCACTGCTGTGGTCTCCATTGGTGTCTGCTTCTCTGCCTGCCGGTGGAAAGACTGAAATTAGTAAACAGATGTGATATGCACCACTATATGTATAGGGCCCCACCCCCCGCTCACCTCTTCTGCCTTCTCAACTTCCTCATTTGTGGGCACCACAGCATCCCCATTCTCAGCTCCGTTCTCTACAGGCTCAGCCTTGGATTTCTTGGCTTCTTTCAGTGGACTTTCCTCCTCCGGTTTCCTCTGGAAGGCCAAAAGATGTCTATTACAGAAACTTCCCCCAGAGCTACCATCAAGTCATGATTTTCAGACTGCCACCCCTGCTGCTGTTGGGGGCACTATTGCTCCTAACAAGGAGGCACCCTTCATTCTTCTGGCACCCTCAACCATTTAAACCAGGTGTAGGCAACCTGCGGCTCTCCAGCTGTTGCAGGACTACAAGTTCCATCATGCTTCTGCAAGTTGTAGCTGTAACTCAATTTTGCAATGTCTCATGGGAAATTTAGTTCAACAGCTAGAGAACTGCAGGTTGCCTACCCCTGGTCTAAACAAAGGGCCAGTTTACTGTTTGGAGACGCCCTACCCTGGAGGGTCTGCTTTCAGAAATTCTAGTTTGGGGGGGTTGTGAAATCTTCAGGCCCAACAACCATTTACATGTACAGAAGGCTCTGGCAGTGAAAAGGCCTCTACAGTGAAAAGGAGTTCCCTCTACACTGGCCATGGAGGGTGGCATTGGATTTAACAGGGTGACAACTAATTTGTGCTGATAAATGAAGTCTTCTACAAGCAGGACATGCAATGAAACCTGCAGACCACCATCGATCATGAGATAGATGTCATCAACAGGGGTGGACTGACAACTCATGGACCCCCGGGCAATAGGGGATCAGGGGGCCCATGTCCTTTGCCAAACTCAAAAGCCTAAGACAAAAAAAAAAAAAAAAAAAAAAAAAAAGTGTACCAGGGGCATCTCATGGGGCCCCCTACTGACCCCAGGCCCTCAGGCAGTGCCCAAGTTTCCAAATGGTCAGTCCGCCCCTGGTCATGACTGCAATAGGCAGGCTCCTGCAAACAGTCCCAAGTATGTACCCAGGTGGAAGTGATGCCAACTACAGAACATTAGGGGGACTCCCTGCCACACAGGACTTACCATCCATTCATTGTGGGAATGTGTGGCTCTGCTCACACCTGACCAATGGAATACTGCTTGTTCCTGGAACTTGCAGGTCAACAGCTTGGAAGGCTGCAGTTAATCACTTCAAGTCCCATCATGCATCTTCCTAGGGCAGGGGTGCCAAACTGCATTTGGGGGTTGTGCTTGCAATGCCTCATGTGACTTGACTTAGAAACAGCTGGAAAGTCCTGAGGCATTGCAAGTACGACCCCCGAATGCAAAGTCAAGCTTTGTGGTGTGTCCGTGTTCTAACCCAGACTAGGTGAAATGAGGTCTAACAGATCTACTGCCAACAAGTAAAGCTCTGATGCCAACGTTTGGACCGCACCACATTATATTTGCTTTAGCCCACGGGTGTTAAACTGGCGGCCCTCCAGCTGTTGCCAAGCTAAAAGTCCCATGAGGCATTGCAAGATTGACAAGCATGACTCCCAAAGGCAGAGGCATGATGGGACTTGTAGTTTCACAACGGCTGGAAGGCCGCCAGTTTGACTTTTAGTTGAAATTTATAGGCGAAAAGCAGAAGTGTCAGTGTGGGTGCCGAGATTGACCCAATACAATGTTCAAGGATCCCGACCCACCTTCTTCCTCACGAGATGTGAGATGTCAGAGACGCAGTTGGTAACGGGTACAGTGCTGTCCCCACTCTTCTCTGCTGGAGCCTGAGGGACAGAAAAGACAGTCAGAGGCTCGGCCATGTGTCAGCATTACAAAGCCAAAACAAGTCAGCAGCTTACAGCCGATGCAGGCACGGCCGATGACGATGAAGTTCCTCCGTTCTCTTGGGAGAAGCCAGATAACCCTCCAATCTAGAGAAACAAATAAAAACTTAGCATTCTTTAAAGACAATTTGAAGCGTACAGCAGGGGGAACAATTTGAAGCGTACAGCAGGGGGAACAATTTGAAGCGTACAGCAGGGGGAACAATTTGAAGCGTACAGCAGGGGGAACAATTTGAAGCGTACAGCAGGGGGAACAATTTGAAGCGTACAGCAGGGGGAACAATTTGAAGCGTACAGCAGGGGGAACAATTTGAAGCGTACAGCAGGGGGAACAATTTGAAGCGTACAGCAGGGGGAACAATTTGAAGCGTACAGCAGGGGGAACAATTTGAAGCGTACAGCAGGGGGAACAATTTGAAGCGTACAGCAGGGGGAACAATTTGAAGCGTACAGCAGGGGGAACAATTTGAAGCGTACAGCAGGGGGAACAATTTGAAGCGTACAGCAGGGGGAACAATTTGAAGCGTACAGCAGGGGGAACAATTTGAAGCGTACAGCAGGGGGAACAATTTGAAGCGTACAGCAGGGGGAACAATTTGAAGCGTACAGCAGGGGGAACAATTTGAAGCGTACAGCAGGGGGAACAATTTGAAGCGTACAGCAGGGGGAACAATTTGAAGCGTACAGCAGGGGGAACAATTTGAAGCGTACAGCAGGGGAACAGAAAGTTTCTGCAATTTGTGCCACACTTTTGCAAGTGTGCAGTTTAGCCTCCAAAGTCACATTTTTCCTTTGAAGAACCTTATTACAAGACTAGGGGAGCTGCTATGGTGAGAGCGATGGGCTGACATGGGTAACTAGCCTAACACAAGTGACAACCCACCAGCTACAGCATGGGTGACTAGCCTAGCACAAGTCTAACACCCTGACAGCTACAGCACTCTTGTGCCCTTAACCTCATTGGCAGTCTGATTAGGTTTATTTTTGAATGTCAAAGCGGTACATTGTTTTGCATGGAAATTTGTTTTATATTGTAGGCCTGTAATTTTTGCATATATTGTAGGCCTGTAATTTTTGGATATATTGTAGGCCTGTAATTTTTGGATATTTTTTAAGTGAGCCATTCTTAAGAATCTAGTAAACATCCCGGGTATGATAACGTTTGATTGCATTGAATTAATAATTTTTTTTATTTCAAGTTTCAAACCAAAGAACACTGAAATTTGGAATGTAGCATCAAGTTCACACATCTCTGATCTCAGTTGCAGAACTGACTGTCGGTTTTCAGTGTGATGAATTTCCCCCCACGAATCATTCTCTCAATTCTGCAAGAGATTCTAATTCACCAATTGCGGTTTTCTAGTTGGTCTAAAATTGCTGTTAACCTAACATTTTGGATGCCATGGACGTTCAAGCTTCCAGGCAGAAATGGTAAAGTGCAGGCAGGGTGAGGGACAGGTGAAATGATACAGTAATGTAATCCTAACAGATTACAGTGTATTGTGTGTCATGTTTTTACTTTTTTGAATCTCCCACCAGCTCTGCGCCCCCCACCTCCCCCCCCCCCCCCCCATCAATGCTTGCAGGGAAGGGAACCCACAAGACAGATGCCAGCATTGGCTGGATTGCAGGAAAAAGTTAAGTTACACTATAGTAATCCTGAGAGTGGATCGGGGTTACCGCTAGGAAGTTAAAGTGCTGCCTAGATGCAATCAGCATGCAGCTTTGCGTAGGGGGGCACAGCACTGCAACAGGGCCACTGTAGGGGGGCACAGCACTGCAACAGGGCCACTGTAGGGGGGCACAGCACTGCAACAGGGCCACTGTAGGGGGGCACAGCACTGCAACAGGGCCACTGTAGGGGGGCACAGCACTGCAACAGGGCCACTGTAGGGGGGCACAGCACTGCAACAGGGCCACTGTAGGGGGGCACAGCACTGCAACAGGGCCACTGTAGGGGGGCACAGCACTGCAACAGGGCCACTGTAGGGGGGCACAGCACTGCAACAGGGCCACTGTAGGGGGGCACAGCACTGCAACAGGGCCACTGTAGGGGGGCACAGCACTGCAACAGGGCCACTGTAGGGGGGCACAGCACTGCAACAGGGCCACTGTAGGGGGGCACAGCACTGCAACAGGGCCACTGTAGGGGGGCACAGCACTGCAACAGGGCCACTGTAGGGGGGCACAGCACTGCAACAGGGCCACTGTAGGGGGGCACAGCACTGCAACAGGGCCACTGTAGGGGGGCACAGCACTGCAACAGGGCCACTGTAGGGGGGCACAGCACTGCAACAGGGCCACTGTAGGGGGGCACAGCACTGCAACAGGGCCACTGTAGGGGGGCACTGATCTGCTGGCTGCACCCCATTCATGTGTGAAGTGGTTTCCATCAGGCCAGGCTTTGATCTGCCATCTTTGTAGGGCAGGAAATTAATTGTTTTATGACAAATCTGTTGATCAGTGTACAGATCTGCAGTTACTAACCAAAGTCTCTTTAAGTGCCTTTTCTGTTGCTTCTGCAGTTTTCTGTGCTTCTTTGGAGTCTTCGATCTTCTCCTTGATATCTGGAAGGAGTCCCTTCAATTCATCCATCTCCTTCTGAAGTTCCTCGGTGGATTCGCTGGCAGCCTTCTCCAATTGTTCTGTGAGCAGAGCTGCGGAAGGGAACAGGTGATTGTTAGGCCAGTCTGGGTGCAGACAACCCTGCAGGTCTGTATGTGGTGATACACCCATGGTGGGTTAAGGTCATTTATTAAAGACACTGGTCTGTTAAAGCGATTTCACCCCCTCAGACAGGCCCTTGTACTACATAGTTGCTTGTAGCTGTATTAGTGCACTTGTGATCAAACATTTACCCATTCACAGAACTTGCACCATACAACTTTCAGGACAAGCTTTTGGGGTATACCCACTTTAACCACTTGCCAACCGCACTATAGCTGGACGGCTACAGCATGGTTGTCCAGTTCTGGGAGGGAGTCATGACATCCTCCCAGAACATACTCCTGTGTGCCCCTTGGGGCGTGCACCCAGTGATCTGGATTGCCATGTTCTATGGACACAGCTGATCATGTAATGTGCTAAAAGGCCAATCACAGCAGCCTTTTACCACATGATCACCGGTGTCCAATGACAGCAGACCAGTAAATGCAGTTGCTGGTTATGAGCTGCACTCTCCTCACTGTCACAGCGTGAGGAAAGTACTGCCGATAAACCGGCAATTGTCAGGATGGATCGGCACTAATCAGGGCACCGATTATCAGTGCTGCCTCAAACGCACAGTGAAGGAGAAAAACTGGTTTACAAAATTTAAATATAAAACAAAGTCAAAAATGAGTGTTTCTAAGGCAAAAAACCCAGCAGCAAGTAAATCCACCAAAAGCTTTGCAAAAAAGTGACAATTGCACAGGCATGCAACACTGTACCTATAACATTTTTAAAGGTCAACAGTGCTGAAAGCTGAAAATTGGCCTGGGCAGGAAGGGGGTAGAAGTGCCAGGTAGGCGAGGGGTTAAAGGTCCAAGAAAAGCAGTATTGATACTACATAGTATAAAAAAAAAAAAAAAAAAAAAAAAAAAAGAAGTATGATGGCTAGCTTTACACAGCCCTTTATCAAAGCCAAACCAGACTCCCCCCTCCCCCCCCCAATTCTGAATCTCTAGGTCCAATCTGATTGGTTTTTTGCCATCTGTCATGGGGGATCATTAGCACCATGTGAGGCTTGTGTACTCACCCACTCTCTTCTCTATGGCCTCGGTGGACTGGGTGAAGTGGGATATGGCGCTGTCATGCTTGCTGCTGTACTGGTAGGCCAGGCCGAGCTGGTAGTGGGTCTCCGCAAGGAGTCGGTCATGCTCTTCTAAGTGCCCTTTCTGGATGTTCAGACATGCGAGGAAATCATCTACTGCCTGACTGTAGTTCTCTATGACAGGAATAGGCAAGGTTACCACACACGCCACACGGCAAGGTTACCACACGGCAAGGTTACCACACGGCAAGGTTACCACACCACACGGCAGACAAAGCTGGACCTGGATGTCTTCAATGATCTCACCTGATTCTATGCTGACTTCTCCCAGCTTCAGATGAGCTTGTGCTGCCTTCAGCTGGGATTCCTTGTTCTCCTGCCTGCAAGACATTTCATGGCACTTTACAATCAGAATAATCTGCTTTCCCATCATCCTCATTGGACATTTGCCCCAAAAGACTGAGCTGTCCAACAAGCAACTTCACATACAGAAGTAAACTAGAACCCTCAGCCACTGAAAAGCAATCACAGCATGACTTACCTCTTGAATATAACCTTGGAAAGGTCCAGCATCTCCCAGGCTAGTTGCAGATTGCCGACATCTTCCTCATCATTCTCCTAAAAATAAAGGATCCTCGTTACTGTACTACGCGGCACCGCGCAACGCTCCGAGCACACCCTCCTACACGGCACCGCGCAACGCTCCGATCACAAGGCACCGCGCAACGCTCCGATCACACCCTCCTACACGGCACCGCGCAACGCTGATCACACCGTCCTACACGGCACCGCGCAACGCTGATCACACCGTCCTACACGGCACCGCGCAACGCTGATCACACCGTCCTACACGGCACCGCGCAACGCTGATCACACCGTCCTACACGGCACCGCGCAACGCTGATCACACCGTCCTACACGGCACCGCGCAACGCTGATCACACCGTCCTACACGGCACCGCGCAACGCTGATCACACCGTCCTACACGGCACCGCGCAACGCTGATCACACCGTCCTACACGGCACCGCGCAACGCTGATCACACCGTCCTACACGGCACCGCGCAACGCTGATCACACCGTCCTACACGGCACCGCGCAACGCTGATCACACCGTCCTACACGGCACCGCGCAACGCTGATCACACCGTCCTACACGGCACCGCGCAACGCTGATCACACCGTCCTACACGGCACCGCGCAACGCTGATCACACCGTCCTACACGGCACCGCGCAACGCTGATCACACCGTCCTACACGGCACAACGCTGCACCGGCACCGCGCAACGCTGATCACACCGTCCTACACGGCACCGCGCAACGCTGATCACACCGTCCTACACGGCACCGCGCAACGCTGATCACACCGTCCTACACGGCACCGCGCAACGCTGATCACACCGTCCTACACGGCACCGCGCAACGCTGATCACACCGTCCTACACGGCACCGCGCAACGCTGATCACACCGTCCTACACGGCACCGCGCAACGCTGATCACACCGTCCTACACGGCACCGCGCAACGCTGATCACACCGTCCTACACGGCACCATGCAATTCTCTGATCAAAGGTGTATGCCTACAGCAGAACAATGCTACCCTATTGCAGGGGTAGCCAAACATCCTTAATTGCTGCTTTACTGCCCTGCAGACTTTAGGGGGCCAGACTGCATTAAAACCCCAACACAGCACTGATACAGGTGCTAAAAACTCTGCCCCCTCGCCAATCCTCACCTCAGCCTTACCCAAGAAACCATCAAAGCGAGGGGGCAGGGTTTTTAGCACCCGTATCAGTGCGGTGTGTGTTTTTTTGGGACAGTGCAAAACATTTCACTTTTATTCATACAAGGAATGCATGTATCCCTTGGAGTATGTATGGAGAGATATGGGGTCAATGTCACTAATTATTTCTAAGACCCCCCCACATCTCTCCTCTGCAATCTAAAGAGAAAAAAAAAAAAATCCATCTAGTGCTATAAAAAAATTGGCCAGAACTGGAAGTGACATCACTCCAGTCCTCCAAGGGCATAGAGATGAGTGGAGGCCATCTTTCCCTCACTAACCTATGCCAAGCACTGAAATTGTTTGATGGTTTCTTGGGTAAGGCTGAGAACTACTAACAATCCCAGTGCTGGGCATAGATTAGTGAGGGAAAGATGGCCTCCACTCATCTCTATGCCCTTGGAGGACTGGAGTGATGTCACTTCCAGTTCTGGAAATTTTATAGCACTAGGATGTTTTTTCATCTAATGCTTTAGATTGCAGAGGAGAGATGTGGGCTCTTAGCATTAATTAGGTCCTCTTTATGGAGAGATATGGGGTCAATGTCACCATCACAAGGGATACATGCATTCCTTGTAAGAATAAAAGTGAAATGTTTTGCACTGTCCCAAAATATATACCCGTCACCCTGGTGAATGCATACACAGGCCACGCCCACACAAGTGGGCAAACCACACATTTCAGGAACTTCTATAGCGCCGTCAATTTATGCAGCGCTTTATATATTGTACATTCACATCAGTCCCTAACCCTCAAGGGGCGTACAAATCCAAGATCCCCAACTCACACATACAAGGGCCAATTTAGACAGGATCCAATTAACCTACCAGCATGTCTTTGGAGTGTGGGAGGAAACCCACGCAGGCACAGGGAGAACATGCAAACTCCAGGCAGGAGGTGCTGTGGCTGGGATTTGAACCAACGACTAGTACTGCCAACCATTTTGGTGCCCACAGCTGAGGTATTGCCACAAATGTTGGAGCGAGAGCAATTCTCACTAGGCCTCTAAAATGTCTACAGGTCAGCAGTGTAAAGTTAAAGCATCACCCATGGAGATTTTACTGCAGTTTGAGGCCACAAGCGTGTGCAATTTTAAAGCGTGTCACATTTGTTATCCATTTACTTGTTGTAACATACTTTCATATTTTACAAAAAAATTGGGGTAGTTAAAGTTTTTTTTAAATATATTTTTTAAAAATGGTGCATTTTGGTTTTCAGCATTTTGAGTTTTCGGTTCCAGAATGCTCATTTCGATGCACCACTATAACTACTAAATGTGAGAAATTTTGCCTTCGTTCTAGTTTTGGCTCTGCCATAACCCAGTATTTAGTTAGAGTAAGGGAGGGTTATAACCCCTGTCAAGAACCTGCCACCCCCCCTGCAGTGCCACCCATCACTGCTGCATATCAGTACCTCGTCAATGCCCACCAGTGCCACAGAAAAGTGGCCTGTTGGAAAAGTTTATTAAATTTTGCTAAATATTTTGCTTTTTTATAGTGCAAAACACCCCAGTGGTGATTACATCACTAGAGCTTTCTTTTGGTAATTAAATAAAAGGTCATACGAGTACAGTGTTGCAATTGTCAAAGTGACAGCGCTGTAAACTGAAAAATGGCCTGGGCAGGAAAGGGTAAAAGTGACCAGTAGGTGAGGGGTTAAACTGATATGACTTACTGAATGAGGGAGTCCCATCATCCATCAGCTAGGAGTCCCACCACACAGCAGACACAAGAGAATGGAACACAATTCCTGCTTCCACTGCCAACATGTGGTCACTGTCACATGTGCCAATCTTGGAGACCATTTTTTTGCCCAACCCCCAGTATACCCTGTACTGACATTTAAATTGGGCTACTGGACTTATTTTGGAAGTGCTGACCAGTCCAGAGCGTGCCGACAGCAACTATGGAGCTTGCATGTACCATTGTGTTCTGCTTTCCTCCAGCACTCCCATGATACGATAGTAAATTGGCTCTGGTATGTGTGCATACATGACAGGGACCCTTGAACGTAAGCTCCTGACAGGGCCTACAGGTACAGCAGCATCTATAATCATTGGTTGAACTAGATGGACTGATGTCGGACCAAGCTAGTCCAGTGCTACATATGAAGTGCCGTACACTACCTTCTCTTCTGATCCTTCGTTCTCCTCGCCATCCTCAGATTCAGCGCCTTCTCCCTCTATAAAGGAAGCACAGGTTTAGATACAGAAGCTGCCATCGGGGACGGGGCAGAGGCATTGGTGTAATCAACATGCAGTGTGACTAGGGCTAGGCTATGTGTAGCAGAGCGGCTGCTGTGACACCAACACCAGACTGGGTGAAGTAGTGATCAGACTTCTGACTTCAGACTCAGGTGCAGGAACTCTCCAGACCATCGGCTGACATCAGTTTTATTAGCCATGCCTGTGACTTAGGGTTCTGCAGGCATTAGGAAGACAGGGAAGAGGCCATCTTCACCTCCTGACACCCAGAAAAGTCACATCCCCCTCAGTTACCTTCTTCGCCCTCCATTGGCTCAGCTTCCTCATCCGCAGCTTTGGCATCCTGCCCCTCGGGCTGTTCCTTTGAAGCCGCCTCCTCCTCAGCCGGGGGTTTGGCACCCTCCGTTTCTTCAGCAGGGGGTTTAGATTCTTCAGGCTCCTGTGATGGGGGTTCAGGGTCAGCGGGGGTAGAAGAGTCAGCTTCCTGAGCTGCAGGTTCAGAGGACTCCACTTTCTTTGCGGCTTCTGTCTCTTCATCCTTTGATTTCTCAGTGCTCCTTCTCTTCTGCCTTTGCACTCTTTTCTCCCTTTGATTCCTCAGTGCCCTCTGCCTTTGCGCTCTTCTCACCCTTTGATTCCTTGGCGCTCTTCTCTGCACTCTTCTCTTCTGCCTTTGCACTCTTGTCACCCTTAGATTCTTCAGTGCTCTCTTCTGCCTTTGCTGCCTCTGTGCTCTTCTCACCCTTTGATTCCTTGGTGCTCTTTGCCTCTGCACTCTTCTCTTCTGCCTTTACACTCTTCTCATCCTTAGATTCCTCAGTGCTCTTTTCTGCCTCTGTGCTCTTCTCTCCCTTTGATTCCTCAGTGCTCTCTTCTGCCTTTGCGCTCTTCTCTTCCTTTGATTCTTCAGTGCTCTTCTCTTCTGCCTTTGCTGCCTCTGTGCTCTTTCCCTTTGATTCCTTGGTGCTCTTCTCTGCCTTGGCGCTCTTACCCTTTGATTCCTCAGTGCTCTTCTCTTCTGCCTTTGCGCTCTTTTCTTTCTTAGATTCCTCTGCACTCTTCTCCTGATCCTTGGATTCATCTGTGCTCTTCTCTTTAGTCACAGCCTCACCCTTCTCTTCAGTCACAGCAGCGCTCTTCTCACCTTTATCCACCTTCTCAGAGCTGGACACAGGAGTTTCTTCCATTTTCTCTTCAGATGGCTTGTCCACCTCTTCCATGTCCACGTCGCCATTCTCTGCCTTTCCGTTAGTCTTGGTCTCTTCGGCAGATTTCTCCGGCTTCTCTGGTTCAGCCATGGCATCATAGACCTGCTCTCTTAACTGCTCCCTTTCTTTCTCTAGAAGTTGTGGAGAGAAAGCCCTCTCTTTTACTGATGGGACCAATTTGCAAAAGCATTACATTTACATGTATGGAGCTACAAAACATGCAATCTAGGAGTACATCAGGGCAAGTCTGAGGGATCTGGAAGTCCTGGTATGTTAATGTCTGCGCTTCCAGAACAAGCAGGACACTGGCTTGTATTACAGGACAGCCCAGAGATTAGCCCTGTATGGGAGATTGTGGCCAGAGACATTGGCTTCGCACTCATTACTGATGCCCAAAACTGAACTGAGCATGCTCCAAAGAGGATATTAGGAACCGAGGGAAAAGGGCAACTAAATGAAGGGGCATGGAGGAACTCCGCTACGTAAAGACTGACTGAACCCAAGTGAAATCCATAAATAAATGTTTTGGCAAGGAACAGATTCCACAATTCTGCTACCAAAGTCATTGTGCTGTAAATTTCCTCCAGTGTAACTCATTGCTTGAAGCAGCCGCCATTTTGCTGAAGCCCAGTAAATCAAAGTGGAATTAAAGCCATCAATGTAATGGTTATAAAAGTTCCTGGAATGCCAGGATTGCCAACTGTCACATGTGCTCGTGTTCTCAGACATGAAAGGGCTGGAGTTACAACCGATCACACTTGCAGATCAAACAGAAGCAGCTTCCTTGGCTACACAGGATAGGAGGGTTCAATTCTGCTTTAAAGTGTTAAACTCCCGAGCCTGATATCTGGGACCCCCCAGTACATGAAAAGGCAATTTTAGTAAAAAATAAACTGCTAAATACCTAATCAGCAGCAGTATATAGCAATCTTGTGACTTTACTATCAGTGTCCAGCAGAGCACTGGTTACAGCTTGTAGGAGGAGTTCTCACTTTGATACCTGTGTCCTAGAGCAAACACAAGGCCTGTGGGCCAAATCCAGCCCTCAAAACCATTTCATGTGGCCCCTTGAACCTCTTCTGCAGGTACCCCATTGTCTCCACCCCCACCTTGTCTCAGCAGTCAGCAGCAGAGAACTCTTCTGCCAAATCCTGCTCCTCTGCAACTCAGCACCCTCATCTCTGCCTCCCCTGGTCTCAGCATCCAGCAGACTGGTTACCAACTACTCCTCCAGACAATGCACTGCTTTCCAGCTCTGCCCCCAGAAGAGATGCATGGTGATGTTAGGGAGGGTGTGGGATCCTTGACATCTGAGGTAATGGGGGGGGTGTGGGATCCTTGACATCTGATGTAATGGGGGGGGGGGGGCGAGTTGCTCTAGACATTTAGTCTTACAGATAAAACCAGCCCTTTGAGGGAAATAATGCCGATACGGCCCACGATGAAATGGAGTCGAATGCAGAACCCCTGACCTCTGGGCGGGGTGATTGGCCCTTTGCTGATCCCATACACAAGAAAAACCTTTAGCAATCCACACCAAACTAAATGAGGAAAGAACAAACAGGGCACACAGGCCTAGTGCATTACCATAAAATGGTTTAGGAAATAGAGGAAGAGACAAGTCCTCAAAATGCATCAGCCTTTTGGATGTCACCACTCCCTATTGTGGGACTATTACTCAGCGCAGTGTTCACCCAGCTGTTCTTTGATGTGCCTTGACTGTCGTCTGTGAGTACAACACCTACTTCATTTTTTTATGGTAATAACCAGGCCTGTGCGCCCTCTGTTTGTTCTTTCCTCATTCAGTATATTTGGATTCCCCCGATCTATAAGGGCAGCAAGGTGTGAATGTTCCAGGACATTCTTAATGTGGTTATAGCATAGAGTCCACCCCCAAGAGCAGGAGCATTTGGGTTTGCTGGTTCTCTACACACCAAACTGAGCATGTGCAGAATGGCTACAGTTCAGTCTGTCTTATCAGGAGATAAGTGGACAATTTAATAAGGAGCAGAGAAGTCAGGATCAAATGGCCTTTACACAATGTGGAGGATTAACCCCTTGGGTTCCACAGCGAGTATAACCAGCATGCTTTACTGAATCTATGGAATGATGTCACTGTTGTGGGTTTAGTAACACTTTGTTCAGAAAATGAGGTTTATCTGCTGACTCAGTTCCTGTTTAATAGGGCAGTTAAGGGAGATACAATATTGTACAGCAAAGGGCCACCCCTCATACCTGCAGGAAAAAGGTTTGGCCTCTGGCTTTAGTAGCTGAAGTATTGTGCAGCAAAGGGCCACCCTTCATACCTGCAGGAAAAAAGGTTTGGCCTCTATGGCTTTAGTATTGTGCAGCAAAGGGCCACCCTTCATACCTGCAGGAAAAAGGTTTGGCCTCTATGGCTTTAGTATTGTGCAGCAAAGGGCCACCCGTCATACCTGCAGGAAAAAGGTTTGGCCTCTATGGCTTTTAGTATTGTGCAGCAAAGGGCCACCCGTCATACCTGCAGGAAAAAGGTTTGGCCTCTATGGCTTTAGTAGCTGAAGTGTGGAACTGTCCCACCATGGGAGCTAGTTATAACTAAGTTTGCAGAGAACTGTTGCCTAAAGTGTGGTATATTTACATTTTTGAATACTATGGGGTAGAGTACCTATATTATAACCAAAGTGTAAGGCGGGGGTAACCCATTAATGAACTCAAAGATTACACCTAATATTGGTGTGGGTGTAAACCAAATATACAGCAAGAAGTAGTTGCCAGAAGCAGACTACCAGAGTAGGTAATAAACACCCAAGCAATGTAGCTCATGTAAAAAAACCAACACATTAATTTTTTTAATCCCTGAAGCCCAAAGCAACATCAAGTTTTTAGGCAGATGTCAGATCAGCCTCTACATTTCCAGCACAGCACAAAAAAAAAAGAAAAAAAAGCACAACTGATCATGTGCAGAGCCAGGTTAGAATGCAGTAATACCGGATTCTACACAGTGTAGGAACTTAATGTTTTAAATAGCTCTGCCTGCAAAAGGACAGCCTGAAGCCATCCAGCACAACTGTTGTCTGATGAAGTTCTGCTTTAATGTAAAATTCAGTCTAGGAATATGCAATTGGAAATCCCCCTTACCAGAGTAAGTGCAATTTCCAGAATTAAGCGTTTTCTTCCTCTGGATTGTTACAGTTGAAGACCCTACAATGAATTAAAGCCCGTCCTCAGAACCCTAAACCTGCAACTGCCAAGTGGCCAGGAAGGCAGACATGCTGCCCAGCCTCTATAGCCACCATATTCCAGCCTCATAACCTGAATGGCCAATGTAGACAATAGAAGGCAGTGTGCAGTTATGTTCTGCCTGCAGTGTAGATGGCACAGGGAAGGGGTGAGATGTCATCCAGGACAGGCATCTGGTAGTCCAGTGTTATGCCAGGCCTCATTCCATGTCTATGAGGGGGGGGGCCCAGTCAGGGACTTGCTGCTGTTACTTTCATGTTCTCTTGTCATCTCAGGAAGACTGACTATTACAGTTTGGCACAGTTTTACCTGCAGCGAAGACCTTACCGTCTAGATTAGCAGCACTGGGGATATTGGGGTCATCATCCTTCTCACCATCTTCCTCTTCATCCTCAGGCATCCCTTCCAAGGCATTTCCCAGGACACCGTTCTCCATTCTGCTCAGAAAAGTTTAATCTGATCAGCATCATAGATGTGGCTCATTCTGTGCTGTGATTGAACTCTGGGCAAACATTCAATAATGTGCTCCAGGATTAGTCAAAGGGCTAAATACATTGTGCACCAAGCTTCTGCAAACCCAGAATGGGGGGGGTAAAAAAAGTAGCAGTGACATCACTCATGCACTTAGTCTGCAGAAAGCTGTGTAAGGGACCTGGCAGGCTCCACCCACTACAGGAGGGTGGAGACCAGACCAGTCACCTTGTACAAGCAGAGCACAGGAGTGACCAGTCTTCTACAGGAACACCAAGATGCAACTTGTATTAGACAATATTAGTGCATCTCAGAGTTCAGTGTTAGATTTCTCAGTTATCAGGGCTGACTGCTTACCGGGCCAGTTCCAGGAGAGCCATGCCATAGGAGAAGAAGGCATCTGCACACTGGTCTGCTGTCTCACCATATTTCTTTCCCCTGAAATACAATGATTGTTGTGAAGGATATACAGCGAGTACATGAAGCTTCTAAATAGAAAAAAACCATTTCAGGTGCAAAGACTCAGGATCAACTATAGCTGGCCACACACTATACAATTTACTGCCCAATTTCCATTAGATTTACCTTCAACTATGTAGTGCAAGAGCCGGCCTGATTGGATACAATTGAAAGTGTTAAGTTTGACCTGTTACAGTTTTTGGCAAATCTAAACCACAAAGAAAACAAATTGTATGATGTATGGCCAGCCTATGCGTCTGGTCATGACTTTTCCTGCATCAAAATACTGCACTTTATACCTCCCCTAGTGACTCTGTACCACACGGTCAGGCAATGGCAGTCATGTCACCAGTGTCCAGGGACACAACATTTTTTACAAGGCCTGGACAGAGCAGCAGTGATGCCTCTGATACCGACGTGCACTTCAGGGCTGTGAATTTAGTATGGGGGGGGTGGTTTAATAATTTGAATTTACACATTGCACAAACACTGGTTGTCACCAGCACCCTGGAGCTAGGCAATGAATGGGGAACTATAGGCAACACTGCAAGGCTTTAAAAGTGAATGGTGCAACTGGGAAAAAAAAAAAAAAGTGAAATGTGGCGTGTCCCCAGGCAGGATCCAAGCAATCATACTGCTCACCACATGTCAAAGCAGTTTTACCTTGTCACTGCGAGCTGTTTCTGCACACACATTTGAAAAAAAAAATATTTAGGCCTGAAGATGACACAAAACCGCCATTTACTGAAAGCAGATACCCCAGAGCAGGGTTCCTCCAGAGGAGGCCAGGGGTTCCTTTGCCACTTTGCACCAGCACCTCCCAGCCCTTTAAGAGTTTCAGAAGCTGGGAGGCAGATTGGGTTTTAGGGTCATGTGACCGCTGTGATTTGCAGTCACATGATCAGAAAAGGTCCTGATCAAAAGGGGAGATCGGGAAACTTCCATGAGTCAGACACATGTGCTGGGAGCGTGCACTCAGCACAAATGTATTTTCTAATTGCACGCGAATATGCGGCCGCTCGGTGTCAAGGCCCAGATGCTGAGGCCGCATATTTGTGTGCATTCAGCATCAAGGGGTTAAGCAGAGCAATTTTCTTCATTTTAGGAAGACATTTGTAAATGTTCCTTTATATAAAAAAAAAAAAAAAAAAAGTGTCAGTATTCTTACAGAAGGCTGCTGGCCTCTTGAAATGAATTCACTGCGGAACGGACGTCCTTCATGACCATGTGTCTCCTACCGGCTCCCATGAGTTTCTTGGCTTCATTGTCCACATCAGCCCTGAAAAACAGAATAAAGGGGTTTATATACAGTGTGTACGGCAGCCCGGGGGGGGGGGGGGGGGTTCCTACACAGTGTGTACGGCAGCCCGGGGGGGGGGGTTCCTACACAGTGTGTACGGCAGCCCGGGGGGGGGGGTTCCTACACAGTGTGTACGGCAGCCCGGGGGGGGGGGGTTCCTACACAGTGTGTACGGCAGCCCGGGGGGGGGGGGGGTTCCTACACAGTGTGTACGGCAGCCCGGGGGGGGGGGGGGGGGGGGGGGGGGGGGGGGGGGGGGGGGGGGGAGGTTCCTACACAGTGTATGGCAGCCAGTGTATGGGGGGGGGGGGGGTTCCTACACAGTGTGTATGGCAGCCCGGGGGGGGGGGGGGGTTCCTACACAGTGTATGGCAGCCCGGGGGGGGGGGTTCCTACACAGTGTATGGCAGCCCCGGGGGGGGGGGTTCCTACACAGTGTATGGCAGCCCGGGGGGGGGGGGTTCCTACACAGTGTATGGCAGCCCGGGGGGGTCGGTTCCTACACAGTGTATGGCAGCCCGGGGGGGTCGGTTCCTACACAGTGTATGGCAGCCCGGGGGGGTCGGTTCCTACACAGTGTATGGCAGCCCGGGGGGGTCGGTTCCTACACAGTGTATGGCAGCCCGGGGGGGGGGGGGGGGGGGGGGGTTCCTACACAGTGTATGGCAGCCCGGGGGGGTTCCTATACTGGGGAAACATGGTTCTTACCCTTCAACTTGTTCAGCAGATGTTGAGGGTTCTTCAGTTTCCTCCATCCTGCAAAGATTGGAAACAATTAGGACCTTCAAAACCGTTCTATGACAAGCCAATGGCTGCTTTAACCTCCCTAGCGGTCTGATGTCCATATTTGTGCCGAAAGCGATATTTTTTGCATTGAATTATGTTATTGTCGGCCTGTAATTCTTAAGAATAACTCACTGAAATCTGTCCAAAAAAGTGTCGAGTAAACATCCCGGGGATGATAAAAGACTTGAAACATGAAATTGTAAATAATTTAATAAAATCAAAATAAAATTCAATATAATCAAACCAAAAACACTGAAATTTGACAGAGCGCCAAGTTCGCACATCGCTGAGCTCAGCCGCAGAATCGTTTTCAGTGTCTGATGAGGAATTTCCCCCACCAATCATTTATCACTCAATTCTGCAAGTGGTTCTGATTTACTATCGCTGTTCTCTAGCCGGTCTAAAACCGCGTCTGACCTAAAGGGACGCTTTCTGGACGCCATGGACGTTTCTCAGTTTCCAGGCAGAAAGAACAGTAAGAATGCAGGCAGGGCGCCGGACAAAATGTATGTGAAATGGTTGGATACAGGAATGTTATACTATGGGATTTTAGTTTTATAAAATGTCAGTTTAAAATTTGCTGCCGGTTGTGGCCCCCGTACATCCGACGCTCGCAGGGACCGGAACGTGGAAGCCGGCCGGAGGAGATGGCCGGGGACACATCATGGGATGAAGGACAAGGTAAGTGCTGCACAGTATCCGAGTAGCGCGGGGGGGGGGTTACTGCTTTTGGCACTGCAAATTAACCCCCGAGCTACACTCGGGAATACCGCCAGGGAGGGTAACAAACCGAAACGGATATAAATCTGGTGTATAACCCTCCACACAACACGTCAGATATAAACCACCTACCCTGTGGAAGATTTACCACCCAGGCCATCTTCCTATACAGCAGTCATGCAACATGACCCAAATGAAGCCCCCCCACCCAAAGATCTTCTGCTGGCATTTGATCACTTTATTCATTGCGCAACAAAACTGAAGGATTTTTACTTCGCTACAAAAAACACATCTAAAAGGGAAATTTAGGCCAAGATGTGTTCTGCAACGTGCTCAACGTTTTCATTTACTTTGGCCCTCCAATTGTCCAGCTTACCAATGTTTTCAGAAGTGAATCTCCCTTCAGGGGACAAAAATCTGACGGGTTCTGATCACAAAATATACCCAAAGGTTGTTTATGGATCACTGCAGGTCTGAGTATGCTACTGTCCCCCTCGTTCAGAAGGTGGCCCAGGGGGTTGTGGAGTTGTCCTTAACCCCTCACCCTTCAGAGGATCCCCCCCCCCACAAAATGGCAACGCGTTCCTTTAACTGAATTGAATAGTCGTGCAACGCTGCACCTGGATATAATTACGTCTTTTCCACACACAGAGCTTTTGGTGGCATTTGACTGCCTGTGTGCTAAAAAACCAACAATTGAGGGAATAAAATTTGAGTTTTGCTATTAACCCCTCGCGCCCCCCGGGCACTTCTACCCCCTTCCTTACCAGGCCAATTTTCAGCTTTCAGCCCTGCCGCACTTTGATTGACAATTGTGCGGTCATGCAACACTGTACCCATATGAAATTTTGATCATTTTTTTCTCACAAATAGAGCTTTCTTTTGGTGGTATTTAATCGCCGCTGGGCGCTTTACTTTTTGTGCTATAAATAAAAAAAGTGCAAAAAATTTGAAAAAAAAAAAGTTTGTTTCTATAATAAAATTTTTCAAACAGGTATTTTTTCTCCTTCACTGATGTACGTTGATGAGGCGGCACTGATGGGCACTGATAGGCGGCACTGATGAGGTGTCACAGATAGGCGGCACTAATATGCAGCACTGATAGGTGACACTGATGATGGGTACTGATAGACGGCACTGACTGGCATCACTGCTGGGCACTGACTGGCGGCACTGACTGGCACAACCCCTGGGCACTGACTGGCAGCACAGGTGGGCGGCACTTGCGGGTGGCACTGCTGGGCACCGATCAGGGCACTGATCATCAGTGCCCTGATGATCGGTGCCGATCCCCGCTCTGACAACTGCCGGTTCTCGGCAGTACTTTCCTCACGATCTGACAGCGTGAGGAAAGTGCAGCCGAGAACCGGCAGTTGCATTTCCTGGTGATCAGTGTGTCATTGGACACCGCTGATCACGTGGTAAAAGGCCGCTGTGATTGGCCTTGAGGAGAGCGCTTTTACCACATCACGTGATCAGCTGTGTCCGTAGGACACAGCGATCACGGAGATTGCCGGGTGCGCGCCCCCTGGGGCACGCAGGAGAGCGCATTCTGGGGGGGGGGGGGGGGGCGGGGGGGGGGGGGGGGGGGGGGGGGGGGGGGGGGGGGGGGGGGGGGACGTCATACGACGTCCACTCAGAACTGGCCGGCCGCAGTTTAGCCGTCATTCGGCTATCTGCGGTCGGCAACTAGTTAAACATGTCCAATTAAAAAATTGGAATCATAAATTTCAGTCAAAATGTCTCCCGCTCCGTGTCTGCCAAATAAAATATCCCGATACGTGTAAATTGGTTTACACGAGTTATAGCGTCTACAGATGGCGGGACAGATACGGGGATTTTTTTTTTACTAGTAACAGCAATGATCAGCAGGACTGCAGGGGGGGCATTCTGACTCTGGAGGGGGGACTGTGTCACTGACACCAATACAGTGATCGGTGTCATGAATGTGCGCACCAGAGGCAGGACGCAGCCTCCATTTTGTGAAGAATCTCCATTTCCCCCCCTCACTCCCCCCCCCTCCGAGGGGCACAGACATTTGGGCAGTGTGTGTGCTGGTTGTGTCACAGGCAGGCCAGCACAGCAGGGACCCCCAGAGCTATAACACTGAGCTAGGAGCCTGGCTGTCCGGGTGAGGTACTATATAACACCTCCTATAACATAAGGCAAGCTTTCCCAGGAGTTCAAGGCTTTCCAAAGAACCACGAATCAGAAACACTTTTCAAAAACCATTTTTCCATTTCCCCCCCCCCCCCGTGTCTCATATCTTGGAATATGAGAGACTTACATAAAAACCAGACATATCAGATTGGCTAAGAGGAGACAAACAATTTGATGGGTCACTCTACTTAACTGGAATACATAGGAAAGCAGATCTTGGGAACCATTCAGTGCATAATTTCATAATTCATATCTAATCAATCCTCAGATGTGTCTGCATCATAATCTACCCACAGGAGGAGTGTCACTTGTGCATAGGAAAAGTTAGGAGCCAAAATATGAACCAAATTAGATTTTGGCTCTAGATTAGGTCCATGCCCAGACCTCCATGCCCTAAACGGGGTATTAGTCCTTGACTTCAGAGACACCCCCTGCTGGGAAACTACAAATTGGGCTGTCAGGCCTAAGGAGGAAGTTGAAGAAGTCTCCCATTTTAACATCAAAACCACCTGGGGAGACCCGTGCCCTTTCGCTCTGAAACTTGATCTGCAAACCCAAGGCAGATTGGCAAGTACTTTAACCCCTTAACCTCCTTTCCATCCCTTTGCTGTTCTATGTTACATTTTGTTCTGTAAATATTTTATTACACCCCCTTTTGACTTCTCAGTAATAAACCTTCCCTTCTGAAAGTGTTGAACTGTTTCTATAGCTCTTAATTGCAATCTACAAATTCCTGCCTCTAAAGAAAACGCTACTGTGTTTGTTTAACCCTCTGTATAACCGGCCTGCGGTGACCGTGTTATACAGATTACCTCAACCATTATAGTGTTATTGCGGATATTGCCAAGTTTCCTTTCTCTGAACAAAAAGGAGGTGGTGGCAGCGTGAAGGGTTAATTGCGTAATTAACCTGACCCAGTAACAATCGCTCAGGCTGCCGGTACATCAATTGTGGTCCAATTAGCTGGAAAATCATTGTGCAGCATTGTTATGCACGCGACATCGTGGTTTTAGATTGGCTAGTCCTTCGGTCACAAGTTTAGTGAGAAGGGCTGGGGTCTGACGCCACAGTCGTCACATGATGGTGACAGCGATCGTGGGATCGTTGCATATTTGTGGCAGCGATCCCATGTCCGTCACAATCAGTGCTAATAAAAAGCACTGAATGGCACCGGGCAGGAAGGGGTTAACATCTGGGGTGATCAAAGGGTTAACTGCCATTTCACTGTAACCGTGCTGCTATGCAGAGCCATACAAAGCCGTGTACCGGAGCTGACAGGGGAGAGATCTGTTTATACACAGGTCTCCCCCTCAGATCCTCTGCAGTCACCGGGGGCAGGCAAGGAATCACCGTCTGGAACCGGTGATTGACAGAGGCTGGGATTGGCAGTGCGGTGTAGGGGGGTGTGCACGCACCCCCACTCGGTACTGCAAAGCCATGTATGTGATTCTGTGCACCCGTGAACAAGTCCATCCAGTGTAACTTGAAGATCTGTATCCCCTGCAGCAACTGAGCATGCACCTGGATCAGGGACAACAGGCAGCATTTACAAATGTCGGTATAGATACGGGGATTTCTTTATTCTTACTATTAATGGCGGTCAATGACTCAGGGGGAGTTTGGGGGACATTCTGACATGGGAGGGCTTGGGGTCACCGATAGTGATCAGTGCTACTAAAAAGCACTGACTACTAATGACTGGGCAGGAAGGGGTTAACATCTGGGGTGACCAAATGGTTAACTGCGGTGTTTTACTATGTAAACATGCTGCTTTGTAGTGCTCTGCTGTACAGAGCAATACAAAGCAGCATGCCAGTGCTGACGGGAGAGATCTGTTTACACACCTCCTGTCAGCTCCGCCAACCACCAAGTCCCAGCCGAGAGCCGGTAGCCAGGGCCCAATAACTGACATGCCAAGGAGCCAATAGTGTTGCGTGTATAGAGCGTGCACCCCCCCCCCCCCCCAGAGATGCAAATCACGTATACATGCGGTTTGGCACATCCCTGACACCCTGTAGCAGTACTCCTATAGGGTGGAAAGAAGGTGGTTAACACTCAAAGTGCTAGGAGCCTCCAGACAGCTAGAGGGTGCAATACATGCACTGCTGTGCCTATATAGTGCCCCCCCCCCCCCCGGGTTCAGGGGCTGCTGGACTTTTCAGAACAAGCCAGGAAGTTGAAGCCATGGTGGGCAGATCTTCCTTCTGTGGAGGCAATTCAGACACCAGCTTTGTAGTTTCCACAGCTGAATACTCAGGAGGGTCCCGCTGGGGGTATTGAGGACTGAGCAGTCACAATTTAAGATGTGTTGCATGGGTTCAGCACAGGATGGGGGTCCTTCCAAGAGTTCGAGGGGGCAGGTAAAGCAGGGCTCGAAGAAATCCCAGGATGCCATGGCGACTAGAAATTGTGCCCTGGTCCCCAGGTTCACAGTCTCCCATTGACATCAATGCAAAAACCAGCAACAGCAATCCTATGTGAACTCGTCTCCACGTGCCACGCCATCACATGTGAATCCGGGATGCACCGCTACACGGGACCCTTCTCATAGTGACATGCAAAACGCAACGCATGTGAACCACCTCAACAGGACCGCCACATCCAGCTCATCATACTAACTAATCTGTGTTAGCAAACATCCAGAATCACACGTGTGACCCAGGGCGGCCAGGAGAGCAGAATTGCTGCGGCTACAACACGAAGGTTCAGGTGCCATTATTGTCAATGGCAGCTAAAGTGTCGCAGCTTGGCTGTGGTAGTCACAGAAAATCACATGGTGAAGTTTCTTGCTTTGCCCCAGGTGCTGACCACACTAAACCTGGCTCCTCAGTTAAAAGCAAATTTGTCAAGCCCTGCGTTACTTGATGCAAATGCTTTAGAGGGAGGTTGCAGCACAACAGGGGGTGTCTATACCAATAGGGGAGCATTGAGGGTTATAGGAGGTCACCGGCACTCATGACTACAAGCAGAAACCTCTTACCATCAGAAGAAGGCGGAGGAGATCGGGAAGGGCCCATAAGGGACAGTTGGAAGGGGGTCCGTAGTATATCTCCAAGTCTGCTAGTATGGGGGCCCCAACACTGCAGGGACAGCACAGGGGCCCCACCACCACATCTCCAAGTCTGTTAGTATGGGGGGGCCCACCACCACAGGGACAGTACAGGGGGCCCCACCACCACAGGGACAGTACAGGGGGCCCCACCACCACAGGGACAGTACAGGGGGCCCCACCACCACAGGGACAGTACAGGGGGCCCCACCACCACAGGGACAGTACTAGCGTCTCATAAGATAGCCTGTCAATAGACTCCATAGTACTCTGTTGGGGGGGGTCATCATACATACTTGGGGTACTAGTACACATTACTGGGCCACCATACATTGAGGCCCCAGTACACTATTGGGGGGGTCACTACAGACTGTAGACAGTTGGGGCTGCTGTACATTGGAGATACCAGGACACCAATGAGGATCACTAACCACTGAATGTCCCAGTACACCCTAAGGGGGTGACCACAGTACACAATGGGGGGGGGAGGGATCAGCTCACCACCATCTATTGGAGCTACTAGTACACAAGGGGTGGGGGGGGGTCGCCAGCCATTGGAGCCACTAGTACACGATGGGGGGGGGGGGGGTCGCCAGCCATTGGAGCTACTAGTACACGATGGGGGGGGGGTCGCCAGCCATTGGAGCCACTAGTACACGATGGGGGGGGGGGGGGGTCGCCAGCCATTGGAGCTACTAGAACACGATGGGGGGGGGGGGTCGCCAGCCATTGGAGCTACTAGAACACGATGGGGGGGGGGGGTCGCCAGCCATTGGAGCTACTAGAACACGATGGGGGGGGGGGGGGGGGGGGGGGAGTCGCCAGCCATTGGAGCTACTAGTACACGATGGGGGGGGGGGGGGGTCGCCAGCCATTGGAGCTACTAGTACACGATGGGGGGGGGGGGGGGTCGCCAGCCATTGGAGCTACTAGTACACGATGGGGGGGGGGGGGGGGGGGTCGCCAGCCATTGGAGCTACTAGTACACGATGGGGGGGGGGTCGCCAGCCATTGGAGCTACTAGTACACGATGGGGGGGGGGGGGGGTCGCCAGCCATTGGAGCTACTAGTACACGATGGGGGGGGGGGGGGGGGTCGCCAGCCATTGGAGCTACTAGTACACGGGGGGGGGGGGGGGGGGGGGGTCGCCAGCCATTGGAGCTACT